GTTTGTAATAATAACAAATGTATTCATTGAGACACAATGTCGACGAGAACAGATAGCGAAGGAAAGAGAAAAGGAGATTAATTCACATAAATTATTATAAATTTGACCGACAGCAAGCAAGTATATAATAAAATAATAAAATCTAATTATAATAACGAAATAAATGGCTGTGTCTTATTAGGCTAGAAAATCAATATATGCATTCAAATTTGTTAGTAATTAAAACGAGCCAAGGTTTTTAATAAAGGGATCAGCCAGGCACGTTCAATACCATCAGCTGCCTATTATAGATCTCAAGTAGCCGGAAATATCTTGTGGCGAACAAAGGCTCTAGGTCGCCGAAGATAGGCGCAATGTCTATCGGCCACTCACTGTAAGCAAAAATAAGCCTATAGAGGTGTTAGTCTTTCATGAGAGCATTTAAAGTGTTATTATGCTTAATTATCCAGTCAAGGCTGATGTCGTGCTCGAGTTTTTACAACACTTTACGAATGAATCACATTAGATCATCAGCCTGTCCGATATCAGTGTTGGAGATTTCTCTCAATATGGGTCATTTCCATGGGTCCAGTTTAACACAAGCGGCTAGTTGCTTCATCTCAGAAAAAAATCCGCTACGTTAAGTAATCAGTGTTTTCTTTTAGGAGCAGGTCTAGTTACAAGTAAAGCTACTTTATTCCGACGTGTCTATATAACAAACTTATGCTTTATTTTTTAACAAATGAGAACAATGCATTATTGAACGATTGCAACAAACATGTCTAGTCGAAAGTTTTTAGCATCAGTGGTTATCTTCAGGGCATGTTCAAGCCTGCCATCATTTGCATTTGCAGCTGCTGCGCTCGTAGCACGAACATATGCATTATCCGGACCAGTTAACAGTGAAACGACGAGTGCTTTGGCAAGCGTCACAGGTTCGCAGTTGCAGTCATCTACCCGAAAATGGTATTTCCACCAAAATTTTCTGTTGCTCATAAACTCAACAGAATGATCGTACTTCCTGAAAGATAGGAAACACGAAGAGATATATTTAAACTAAAGATCCAGAGGAGTGTCGCTGCTGGAATCATCAGCCCTTTTTGACCCGAGGCAAAGCTCTAGTTACGTAATGAATAATGTGCCAAAGAAAATTTTGGACGATCGTACGCAATCACACGAGTTACGGTATTCTTCATAAATGACTCTGGAATACACGTTTCGAGCATTTCTTTCGCCATTCTAATAAACAAAAAGTTTAAATGTCCATATTCTGAATTATCGATTATATCAAATTAGACAAATGCAGTAGCTTTGTTTTCGTTTCGCTGTCTGTCAGTAGATGTAAGAACGTAGACACAGTCCTGATAATCATTTATTTTATCAAAGATTTTCCGCAGGAATTGAAAACTTCACTTTGTCATGACAACAGAAGACTAATTTACGCTATTTGGACACTTCCTGCATTTCTTGCCTATCATAAACTTTACCTGGCGAGCAATAGCGTAGCCGCCAAAAGTCTCCATCCCCTAAGGCATGCTCTTCTTTCCCAGTGGTCAAGATACGTCGCTAGTCGGTCAGCTACATCTTGAAAATCCGCTACCTCCCCGAGATCTAAAATCGTTTCCGCATAGTCGAGAACAAGAGTGTCTGCCGGTGCCATCACTAATATCTTCCGAATGCAAGCAAGACGGCGAATTGAGCTGTCGACATCCTGGCGCTGACGTAGAAGCTAAAAAAGAAACCCATGTGCCTGCATTATGCAATGCAATCGCAATAACTTCATTTTTCAGCATCGATTCGATTGGTAACATATACTATATAGAAATCTAGTTTGAAAGTTTTGAAACTCTTACGAATACACCTTGTCATACGCTTCTAACTAAACATAAGCATGACACTAGAGCTACAAGACGTACCTGACAATAAAATAGAAATCCCGTCAAATGGTTCGGATTACGTTTTATATAGGATTTTAGAACTTTTTCGAAGTTGAACTCTTCGTCCATTTGCTCATACAACAGGCCCATCTGTAGGAAGACATCGCCTACTACTTTGGGAACACAGAAGGCGCCCTCGAGCGATTTGCGCACCAGCGCCCGTTGGTGGCTTAAAGCAACTTCTCGAAAAGCCCGTTCATCATCTGTTAGGGTGCCGGAGAGAAGTTCCGGATCACTTTGAAGTTTTGTGAGCTCACGTACCCGCTGTAGCGCGACGTAGCCATGAAAGATGGCTAGCAAAGGATTGGTCTCGCGACCTTTTTCGCGGCTTATGGCGTGAGTGTCTGCCCAGTTTGTGATGGGCTCGAATTCGTAAGTAAGCTAGATAAATATATAAGCAATATTGCAGAAACTGAAAGAAGTTCTTTAGCTAAATAGCTTGAAAGAAGCTATAGAAAAAGCTATTTTCTATGATTACATTTGACTAATCAAATTATCAGTAACATGCTTACCGGTTAGCACAGTTAGTAATTGGTAAATTATTAGATTATTCATAACGTTTCAAAAGTTCGTAATATATTTTTCTTTGAAATGCTTGCGTATTTCATCTGGATAATAATTACAAAAAATCAATTGAAGTACAGATAAGGGAGAAAAGGATCGTCTATATGAGTGTTTAAAATATGCATAGGTACCTGTTGATTTTGCAGCATAAGGAGGAGAGATTCTAGAAGTGCCCCTGTTCTTACAAGAGGATCGAGCGGCAGAACACAGACCGCCAAATCTTCGAGAAGTCTTCTATTCAGTGGGTAATAGAACGCAGCAAACAATAGGCCACGCAGGGGTGCCTCGAACCCACATATGATTGGCTCGTTATGCAGTAATTTTGCAAGATGTACAAGACTTGATCCGCGCCCGTGCCGTAACGCGTAACCCATAAGATTTACAACGGAGCCCGACGAGGCTGTCATCCAAAATTGGCGCCCTTGACAACGAGGATTATTGTAAATGCCATGGCGTAATCCGGTCGAAGATAAAAATGACAACGACGACTCCTCATCCTGGTCCGCCGGGGGGGTTGCTCTTCCATGAGAACCACTATCCGATGAACCTGACGAAATCACTAAAGCTTGAGATAACGGTTTGTCACGACGTGGCATTGCGTCCAAAACCTGTCAAAGCAAACACAGGTATGTTACGGTGGTCTTGTATTCCTACAAGTATGTACTTAATTTACTAGTAAACCTTATAAATGAGAAACTGTGAAAATGACTAAATCTATTTTCAGGCCTCGAAACAATGTCACACAGTCAAAAGCATTAAATCAACAGCTAGACTAGTAGAAATTATGTAGAAAAAAAATTATTTTGAGTATTTAAATTAGCCGTCTTTAATTAATTAAATAAATTATTTAATGAGAATGCACAATAATAATAATGACTGATCTACTACTCGCCTATTATCTTCACCTAACGGGGTAATTTCAAATGTGTATGTAATATATCTGGTTGCATATAATAAATTATAAATATTAAACTGCGCTCTCAGAAAAGCTATATATATCATCAGTAAATAATATGTTAGTGACGAGGTGATATCACGCTTGACGTACTTCTTAAAAGATAAAATTTATCGTGCACGTTTGTTGCTATCGCAAAAATGTTGAATGATACTTTGTAAAATCATAGCTTCTCTATTGCCATATGATTTACCTTTGCATTTTGCAATAACTTATAACAAAAATAGGAAAACTACATTTTGACTTACTTTGGTTCAGCTAGAACATTCACTCCCGGCACTTAATTATATGCACAGAAAAGTGTAAACCTTTAAAGCTAGTGTTGAGTAATGCATCCCATTCTTGCTCAAACAGCTATGTTGACGGCCATACGTTTGTAAAACATCTTCAAAATAAATAAAAATTTTCGATTAAAGTGCGCGCATAGCGACCCGTGTGTTGACATAAGTAAGAAATTCGAATACACTAACTCGAACACACGGTATATACCTAACATTCATTGACAAAATATTCGAACTATATCATTCGCACTTTTTTGTCAATGAAACTCTAAACAACGCTCTTATTCAGATAAAGCTAGTTTCACACGAAGTTTTGCATAATGGAAGCCCCATGCCAGGGTAAGTTCGAAACTTCGGTTGCCCACTTTTTGCTGGCATAATTTCGAAAATACCGAAAGTTTGATTACCTATTTAGTTCTGCACGAATTTTTGCGCGTTTCTAAATTGAGCACTGGTATGTAGTGCACACGCACGCTAATGTCTCACTATATTCAATTTGATTTAAACCATTTTGAGTTCTAAGTAGGGGTATGCGTTTCGATCAATGGCTCGATCTCCTACTCAGCAAAACACTTCAGCGTTACAAGAGATTTTGCATTATCATTGGCGTAATACTGTTCTACAGCATTTATGTGCCTCTAATTACCTATGTGCTATAGACCTCAACATTATAACATAACCTGAACGTGGACTTGATAGTAGGAAACCATAAACCACACCAGTTGGAACACACTGTCTAATAGGAAACCTTCTATCCAAATGCAAGTGTGGCCCTTTCCCAGCCTGGCCCACCCTCTCCAGCGCATGAGCGGACCTCATGAGCGTATTATGTTTTGAGAAAATCGGCAGAGTTTCACTGGTGGCCGTGGCAAGTCGCTGTCCCCATGAGGACTATTGAGAGTGGCGTGAGGCTGTTTCTGTTACTGGTTCTTGTAGGGCCGTTTTCAGCTGATGGCTTAAGTTGGCACGACATTCGGGTGAGTTTCTGGTAGAAATAGTACTTTGACGACCGTTCACATATGCTTGATTGTTGTTGTTCGAATGAATGCACTGGAGTGCCACAGTAGCGCCGAAATAACACAAATTTTCCACGTACTATGTGTTATTTTTCCACCAGAACATCCAAAGTTGGTATTTTTAAGGGCGGACACTCCTGGGACAAGATGAACAGACGTTTTAGGAAGAAATCACCTTCAGGAATTTCTAACAGCTGATATAGCCTTGCGCGGTGTGACTAGATTTGCGGCGAATTTAAAAACTATTAGATGTGCTTGTATAAAAAGTGTAGTCGATTTTTGGTTAAGGAAGCTTGTTTTTCCTATATACTTTTTTGTGCAAACGTGATCCTAAAATAAAATAGGGAAAGTATTTGATAAAGACAGCTTTGCTTTCAGCTTGATTTTGTTAGCACGCGTGTGGATAAGATTTTATTCAAAGTAATACAATTCTTATATAATGTTCACTCTAAAGGTCAGTGTTTTTCATTTAGAGGTTTACATCTAGAGATAGTAGAAAGTCATGGCATACAGCTTTTAATTGTAGTAGGTAATTTCTAAACAAATACACTACTTTCGGATAGAGATCATCGTTTTGCTCATTTATATATTTAATTGCATGGCACATATATGTATAGTTAATATATTTGTAGGTAATAATCAAGCTAAGTCAAAACTGTCGACATCTATACTCTATGACTGTATTTGTAAATTAAATAATACATTTACATTACGCATAAAACTACGATTAGCCAATAAGTGGTTTCTTAAAGATTTTGCGAAACTTGAAAACTTCAATTTAAAGCTTGTTAAATATGACATCTTCTGTCAGTTATCGTTCTACTAATTTACTTTTCCCGTTTTGCCAGAACTTTATAAGCTTGGCTTTAAAAACTATGTAGCCTAGCCAGTTCTTAAATTGTTATGTTCTGTCACGAATTTCGTCTGCCAGTGATCAGAAAAATTATTATCAGTCGTGCCGAAGTCTAGAGAATATAACTGTACAAGCAGCGATGACACCATAAGGCGGGTACAGGAAAAGAAACTTGAAGACAGTTCTTGATTAGCTTGCCTTCCATGTATGCGAATGTCAAACATGTTGTTCAACTTCTTGAAATATTTAACAACCGTGCTTGTCTATGCTAAAACTGATGACTGTTTTACTCGTGTGAGCCGTACTCAAAGAATGTATAATAATAATAATATATCATCTTGTAGTTAGGACGAAAATTATAGGGCTTATCTTATTAATTATAGGTACTAAGTACAAACTGGTTTCAAAGTAACTTAGAAATACACAAATTAGCGCTTGATGTCTTGCTTCGTCGTTATGCGCGGACAATTTAAGTACATTTGATGACAGATTTCTTTTCACACTTAACGGTATTCGCTCATTTACGACAATCAAATGGAGGATGTCTGCATTGCATGCCTTTAATGAAGTCGGAAGTGATTTGTTTCTCGGTACGTGTGTGAATTAACGTATTTTGACTATTTAGAGCACTGTTGCATAAAATTTTGTGCTATCGTACTCTAGTCCTTAATAGCAGCTATGTATGGTGGCGATGGCTTCGCTAAATAAAAAAAGAACAGTATCTGCTTGCCGGGTCTACAAAGTCGTTCGTTTGAGTTTTCCAACGCGCAGATGTCCGCTCCGTACATGTGCTGAAGGAGAAGCTATTAATAACTGCAATAAAGTAGACTTCCTCAAGTAAATATATTTTCCCATTAGTGGCACGTACATGCGATAATGTTGTACAGTAGCCATATGCGGCACTATAAACTACGCCTGCATATATCTAGACATATTCAATAGGCCGTAGAAAGGATCCATAAATTTGATAGTAAGCTAGTTAGCTTCTGACAGATGTATTTTTATTGTTTACACTGAGTGCTACAATTAGCGTATTCATAACATTAGTATCACCTAACTTATGACGAATAACAATAAGTCTGGACATGGTCCTTTAAGTGCTCTATATGGTCCGAATACTTCCAGCACATATTTATAGGTCCATTCACCTAAGAGTTACCTGTGTTTAAGCGAGGCTTTCTGTGGCTTTAGCGCATGTACAAGTGTCCTATTGCCAGTTCATTTGACAACGGTGATGCTACATGGGCCCAAATTTACTTGACGTTATCGATGGACATAACCGGTGCTACAGAAAAAAATCTATTAGTATACTTTATAGTATATATACTATAAAGACTTTTTTATTACGTGGCCGAAACCGACTTACAAATTTTTATATTAAAAAAATATCAGTTGGAGACACTTATGTCGCTGGCTTCTACAGTTCCACAAGTTGAAGTTGTGTAATCTGAAGGCGGGGCTATATAAACCACTGATAATCTCGCGCGCGTTCATTTAATAAAACTAAAAAAACGTTTGGTTTTCAAAAAAAAAAAACTGTGCTTATGACTCGAGAAGCCCGTACTGGCAAGTTAAGCAGGTTAACGATTATGGTTTGTTCATTTTATGTCCAAAATAAAATTGCTGGGCAGTATGAAGCCGTTTCTTCATTTGCAGATAAACTTTGTTTGAGCACCGAGAGGGCGTAATAATAATGGGTTCACCGCTCTTACGGTCGCACTAAAGCCTATATGACTATCGTGGTTGAGCATTGTTCTGATCTAAATAATTAATGTCAATTGTGCATTTTCCACAGTATTGTTTTTTCCTAACGATGTATTATGCCAGTCGAGCAATTTTTCAAACTTTTCTATAAAAGCAGCCATATGTGACACGTTGTTACAACAACCTGTGCTACCACAAGTGCGTTTGACAGAGTGAAACTGACAGGTATACACATATACGCGTTCTTACAATTAAATAGAGTAGTATTTTAAGGCTACCTAATTATCTTTATGTTAGCTCTATACATTTAGTTTCGATGGTGAATTGCATCACGTTTCTGACCTACGTACATCTGAAAATTCTGGAAGTATAACAATAGAAATATTTCAAATAGACGTCTTTTTGCTATGAAAAAAACAGAATGGCTCATACAGTCCTTGTCCTATATAATCCCACCTTCTTTTTTATGGGAAAACTGGCCATAGAATGCCCAGGGACGATTTTTCATCTCTACTGTATTTTATCACAACTTCTTCAGCGGCCTTACGGTGTAGCGTTTATGGAATAGTAACCGTCAATATACAGAACAAGAAAACGATGAGATATTACAGTTCTTCATATTAAAAGAGATTGTAGTCTAGTTTGTTTTAATCTTATGAGGGACTGTAATCTAGTTTCGTTATGTAATCCCTGTTACGATTATTGCATGTGTCTCTTCACTGATTTATTTTTATTTCGACTTATTCTTCGTAAATTCGTTGACTATGCTTTAGGTAATGAAAAAACAATACATGATTTGATTAGCTTGATGTATGGCGCGCATTGAAAACATTAACAACTAAATCAGACTTATGAATGCACAGCTCTGAAGTTGGATGTTTCAGAGGTTAGTTTTTTGCGGTGTTTGATCTAAACCAGATGCGCTCTAAGTGAACGAACACTTAAATTCGTAATAGCTTAATTCTCTTATGAATCATTATACTAATATTAGTATATATGAGTTATTATATGATTCCTAGCATGTTTCATAACTAAATAACCGTTTCAGTCTCATGGGCGTGTCTCGCTAGCTGTGACAACTGCGGTTACTGCACTGGGGGCATATTATTTGACCTCCCGTCCGAACATCTTTGTGCTGCAGGGAAATCAGGACCAGACGGTCGAACCACAACCTACGGCTGTTGAACAGCAGGCTGATAATGAGGATCCGAATGTGTCAGACATTACTAGCGTATGTTAACTGTGTGTGTGTGGGGTGTCATATGAATATGTGATTTGAGCGGGGCTAGCTTTATGGAGTTGCTTTTAGTTTGTGGCTTTACGATTGTTACTGGTAAACTGAGAAATGTACTTCTCTTTAAAATGTCTCTCAGTCGTCGAATAAGGTAACGAGTGTATACAAATTGATGATGTTATTATCTATTGACATTGAATTAAAAATGATATTTTTATCTATAAATATGTAAATACTTTCATTATCGTGCTCGTACGAAAAATTCTTTTCGGGACATGGCAGCTTTTTAAGTATTTCAGATCAATCAGTAAAACCTTTGCTACATCTAAAAAGTCTTTAATTTATCAATATCTCATTAAATTGGTCTTTATTTTAAGGATGTTCGTACTTTATAGTTGACTCTGGCGTGAATTTTTGGGAGTTTACATGGTCTTCGTCGCTTTCTTACGCGTATTCTTTTCATTTGTCTAACTACTTTTTTGGCGTACGTTTACCGGTTTGTCTCCCCTTCGTCTGCTTGACCAATTGTGTCTTCCAATAGCTTCGTGAACATCGCATTCCACTTCGCTTTTCTGTCGAAAGCTGCGGTATCGTAACCTTCAGCGAATTCTTGAAATCTTTTTTAAACGTCCCATACCCCACAACTCGATTGATAGTGTTAATGCTACATTACGCTAAAGAGGCGAAAACATCGTTACAGATCTAAATTTGGAAGGTCCCTGTTCCAATAAAATGCTGTCCTTTTTTCTACTTTTATTAGTACGTGTACAACAATCACCAACGACGAGCCAAAATAATTAAGGTATACAAAAAGCTTACGTAAGAGAGGTGTTTTCATCTGCATCCCACCGGATATTAGGGCGTTTGTGTAAACACAGGAGTACGCACATACACGCAACTAAAGCTATCTACTGCTGCTGCATACATTCGATGGCTTCATTCAGATGCTCATTCATTCATCTGCATCGGCTGTAGGAAAACGAAAGGGCTACCCTTTTTAGGGATCCAGCTTCTTATTATAGATGTAATCTCTAACTTACCTCCCAAAACCAGATATTACGGCCCAAATCACTTTCAATGTGTAATTGTTTGCTTGTATTCTCTGTTCAAACGAGCCTAAGCATAAAAAATCGCATGCTACAGCTGCTGATCTAAAAATACGAGAAAATTCATCATACATATTAGGATTTTGGTAAAATACCTAAATCGTCAACTAAAGAATACTTTTTGCTAGTAGCTGGTACTACAACGAAGTTATTTTCTTTTTCGATTGCCTAGCAACTATCCGATAACCATATAGGTTTTGATTGTCCTATTCCAGTCGTATGTAAATGCTTAGTACACAGACCCTGCCTAATACTCGAGGACGCGTAGCATCGTCTTCACAGAAGTACGGTTTCAACCTTAACGCATCTTATTTTATTGAGACAATACGTGCTTTCACGTAGAGACAACAGCGAGTTCCCTAAATCATGTACATGCTGTGGTCAGAAAAGCGAAGGTCCGAAGCATAGCAACACTGATTGAACGAGAAGACAGGGGCCTAACGTAAACGCAGGTTATCTATAACCAAAGGAACAGTTCTCTTGACGTTTCTATACATCTAACGTGATGAGTCGTGTCTGTGGCGCACACCTCATCCAGAAAAAATTGCCTAGAATGTCTGCTAGAGTATTATTAAGGTTGGGATGAGAGGACCTAGACCCGTACTCGGACAGATGATGGATAAGCAGCAGCATTTGCCAAATCCTGTTTGTCCCTGTGTATGCTATTGCGTTTATGCTCCTCCTGTAACTGGGTCTGTTTAACACATGCACATTCGGCTGTTTGCACTGAGTCGCAGTGTAATGTCTCGCTTTATTCCACACTAGACTTTCCCAAATGCATGAGCACACGTATACTTTACTAGATTGTGTAATGCTTGTAGATACCGTATTGTGCAATGAAAACGTACCAATTATCGTAATGATAACATCCTGAGTAAAGCATTCGTTTAATAAATTCAAGTTTAGCAAGGATTTCATTTCTTTAAATAGAACAGTGTATGCTATACACGAAAGAGCGAAAAGGTAAAACTGTCAAGTTCTTTTCGACTGAACGTTGTGACTCTTGGCCGATTACCTTTCGCGTGTTAAGGAAAGCAGGGAGCTTGGCTTATTCAAAAAAGACTAGTACGTCTTCGTTCATACTGCACAGACTGACTGTGGCAAACAAATAGCAGAGTATCTCGACTGGCATGAGTCAATTTGTGCGTTGTCCATCGTAGGCTCATTTCGTAAATTATTCGTCGTAATCTTTCTGACTCTAAACTGAACTGAGAATTCGGCGGCCCACTAAACCAATCCGACTCCGGCTTGTCCCGTAGACCAAGTAAAAGCTTTTCAATATCTCGTTTGATTTACGTTTTATGACTAAATTTAGACGCGAACTATGAAGTGAAGCTATGCATTTTACAAATAAATACCTCTCAAATATACCTCGAGATATACGACAAGATTTAAATTTGCTTCGTCAGGCCTTCTTATGAGATTCGGTGTTAATGCACACGCACGTTCCATGTAAATACGGCTATCGAGCCAGTAAAATATTTGACTCGAGGTAGCTGGCTTATGATTCTTGCCTTCATTTTGACAAAAAAACGAACGGTCAGGGCTTCCGTCTGACTAAAGACTACTCAAGTCGTACCAAGAGATTTCAGTGCAAAATTTCTCGTTCAGGCGGGATAACGATCATCAGCTAGTCTAACCGACTACAGTAATCGTCTGAACCTGAAATGCACCGACATTTGAGATACCATAGTCGAACTATTCCCTTCAATCCTGTGCTAAGACTGAAGGGAATACTTCGACTGGGGGGCTTCAGACCAGCCATATTTGTGCTTAGCGCGGCACTTGCACTAAATAATGGCGTAGTGTCAAATCAGAACCCACGGCAGAACATAAACTAACAGAAACTTTCAGAAAATCATGTGAGAATTAGAGCCATAATGCATAGGACATTTAGGCTTGCAACTTCAACTTGACCTTTCACAACAAGTTCAAGTACGTGCTACCACTTAAGGTTCAGTAAGAATAAGCGAAAGGCTACGCGGACAAATAGTCCGCTGAAGTAAATTAATTACAAGGCTGTTTGTGATTGAGATCGTTCTGAACCTAACAAGTTTGTCAGACCGTGCGATTAGGTAGCACGAGGCGTCCTTTTCTTGCATTGTGAAGCATCCTCTAAGGGCTGCCTATTGCAGTAATCGACGCAGTCTGATCATTTTTGCGACGATTTTGCGCATTTTTAGATTACCCAGAAGAAAACAATCTCTCTCTATCTGTATGCCAGTGTAAAAAACCCTAGTTAGACAGAAACCAGAAAAGGCGTCACTTCGTTTGACCCTAACAGATATGTAAATACGTTGCGGCGGTTCACCTGAGTGAAGTAAACAAACGTCATACTAACAACTAATCATGCTAAGGTGCCATTGCCATATGCCCGCCTCGAACCAATTTTAAAACTGCTCTGTACATGATAACGAACTGTCGTGACTGCTTCGGTGGGCAGTTTCTTTCTTCATCGATGGACAGTCAATACGGTTACACCTGGCTTGCCTTGGTTCAATTGTTCCTGGGTTTTCAAGGTGCCGTTTACTGAACTAAGTTGAAGTTTACTGAACAACTTTGTTTTACTAAAGCAAAGTTGACACTATGTATTCAAATATTGCAAAATGAACTACGATATCCAACAAGTGGGAGAATAATCATGCTACCAACGTATTGTCATCGAGACTATCGTCGAGACTATGCATAGATACCCTTAGAGATTAGAAAAATATCTGCTCACTAAACTTTGCGCAAAGATCGAATATTATTTGCTATTTTTAACACATAATTTGTTTTGTCGCTGTTATTGAATGTCGGGTCGGACACCTAAATCACCGCTTAATATGCGATAGCTATACGGGACCAGCCTTGTTTGCCCGATAAAATTCTCACGAGCAGGTTGACCTTGAACTGCTTTAATTTAATTTCACGGATGTGTGGTAGATCCGGTCATTGAAGGTATTCATAACTTTTTGCAGTATTAAAATTGTCACAAATCCAGCATAGATGATTGCTCTGAACCGTTACTTTAGGGAGCTTTGACCGCAGATACATTTATACCCAGGTTATATAATACGAAACCCTTTATGCGTATTTTTATAAATTTTTTTTCTCTTTTTTTTAAATTTTGACTAGTGCCATGTTAAATTTGAATGTCCTTCCTTAAAGAACTACTTTTCCTCACAGCACTTTTCATCAACTTTTAACACTCAACTTACCCTAGCCGTCATTTTTTTCGTTAGCAAAACTTTATAGAAGTGGAATATTTATAAGTTATCATGTCGCTATCAAATTTTAGACGTCAAAACGAGACGGAGAATCTAGGTGTACTTATAAAACCAATATTTTTTTCAAGGACAAGTCTTTTCTATTGGGTACGGTCAATATATAAAAACTGCCTGAAGATTTAGCGCTAAAATTAATTACAACAGATGGGCTTGCTGTATATTATGATTGTTAGCAATTGCAGTGATACCGTAATGCTTAATACCAAATGTGCTTTCGGCCACCTTCATCGAAGGCGACTACTTTGTATTGTCCAGCTAACATTTTTTACTCCGTGTTAAAATAATAACTTCATTTTATTCTTAACAGAATATCATTTTTCACTTTTTATATTTCTAACTAACTTGTGTGTAGCGTAGGATCGCAAACTTTGCGAAACTCCTTAACGGCCATTTTAATCCCAGTGATTTTTATTAGTATTAAACGTTTTGCATTTCACGTAAGATTGTCGCCCAAGACTACATCTCCTTTTCTTCCGTCCATGTCTTTTGTAGCCCAGAAAGTAGGTTAAAAAAGGGTTTGCTCATTCTGCTGTGGAATTTTTATCATTTAAGGAGTATCTGCTGTGTGGGTTAAAACCTTTTTCAAGCTAACAGTGTGCTACTGAATAGATGAAGGGACAGTGCCCTATAATTGTTATTCTGCTCATTGTTTGTGCGAACTACGTGAAAACAAGCAAAAAGGGTTAGGCAAACACCTTTTCGAGACACTGTATACATAATAGAGCAGGACTGAAAGCAGCGATCTTGGCTTCGACATTTTAAGCCAATTATTCTAACAGGTGTCTATGCCATTATTTCTACTATAAAGTGCATAATTCTTGCACACATTGTATAATTTCGTCTGATCCTCTGCCATAGTTCCATTTTTCCAACCGCTCGCTGACCTGTTGTATCTTTTTTTCCTCCTTCGATTTCGCTTTGCATTTTTCGTTCGTGGCAGTCTCGCATCAGCTGTCGTCTGAGGCCCTGTCTTTCGTTGACTATACGACGAGTGAGTGGTTTCATCCGTTACGCCATAACCGACTATCCCCGGTTGTATTCGTCGTAAGCTGCAATAATGTGTGTGTGTCTATTGTGGCAATTGTCCGTGTTATCCGCGTGTATATGTTTAACGAAATTGCAGAAGTTTGTTGTCGCTCAAGCTTGCTTCGATACTTAATTTATTTTTATCCTCTCTGTCATAGCCGCCTAACCGTGATCAAAGTGTTGTTTACCTTTTCCAGTTGCTAAGATTGTCTCTTGCCTTCTATCGCATATACATCTGTGATATGTGTGCTCATATTTCCGTTGCCAAACAAGCAATGTCAGCTACTTAGTTAGCGAACGAAGTCAATGTGTTAAATTTTGTACTCATTTATGGAAATACGTGCGGCTTTTTTAGGTTGAAAGATTTGATGAAGCTTTCTATAACATTAGACGTTTATTTTCCTGTGTAAAAAAGTTATAAAACGAGCAATCTTTAGGCCTCCTTACGTGACAGTGGGTAAGTGATTGATTACATGATTAACGAAGTACCATTCTAACATGACAAATTCTGAGTGATACAAACCTAACCCACTGGGCTGTCTTTGGGAGTGCTTAGCAGATCACCTTTTCTAATTGTGCGCGGCAGTACGTTATTTTAATTTTATGCGGTTTATTCATCACATTGATAGACGTATATATTTAGCATTGTTTTTTTTCAGTGTGGAGTGGGATAACATAACATCAAATATAGTCTTTCATATGCCCTTCTTCTTAGGAGACCGTGAGGTTGGAGTGGTTAACGCACATGTCTTTGAGCGTTTTGCCATGATAACTCTAAGCAAACAAGCATGTGGCCATCACTGGTCAAAATATCAGCGTTCAAACAAAAAGGGTTATCACAAGAGAAATACAAACAGCAGATATGCTACTTGTATATCATGCCATGTCATAGGCTGGAGAAACTATAGAGTAATACGGTCCCCGGCATAGACATTCTAATGGGGGCAGGCCCTTGATGCTTACGTAAGAAGTGATTATGGGTACTTGTTTTAATTTTGTTACAATGTTTTGTTAGAAGCTCCTGTTCTTAAAAACTTTGGTAATCTTCGATTCAAACTTGATATTTATAATCTGATTTTTACTATTGTTAAGAAGCATCTTTATAGGTGTTTATTTACCATTCTCTTGCGATAAATATTGTTTATTCAATGAAATCTATGTTTGCATTATATACATTACCAGTCACTCTCGATAGTAATTAACAGCACCTAAAAGTACATAGGCTAAATTTCAGAGCAGATAAAAGGTTAAAAACATAGCATAATATTGTAACCCTTAATCTTTGGAATGTAATTTTGGCACTTTCTTGAAGTCTTGCATTGCCGTTAAACAGTTACACCGTGTACTGCCGACGCCTATGCCATATGCCTACGAGTCTTTTCGGTTATAAATTTATGTAGAAGAAAGGTCAGTTTCCATTGTTTGGCCAATCTCATAACGAAATCCGTCTTTCGAATTTATTTCAATAGGCTTTTTTTTTTTTAAAAACAGTAAGGTACCTTAAAATGCAACCTCGGTTTAATTCGTTGGCGGGTTGCAGAACTTGATGTGCGACTCGTTCTTTGAAGGTTCCTACTTATAAGCACTGTCCCTATTCAAGTAGTATGCAACGAGGATAGAGGCCCATTCATTTAGAGCAGCTATAAATGATAGTGCCAAATTTCTTTACAAACGCCAGCTAGAAATCAGTTTTTTTTTTTTAGTATCCATGCTACCGATATAACTGTAACAAATAACTTGTTAGTTGGACGTTTCCACTTGGGGAATGTAAAAGATTCGTTGCTAATGGCGTAAACTTGGGCTTTTTAAGCACTTAAAATGAGAAATATATCAATATTAACGTTTAATGGACACTTGGACTAGCCAGCTTCAAACGCTTGCTTAGCAGAGTGGCTGAGTAAAAACTATAGGTTACTATTTGCTGTACCAAAGAAACAGGAATAGTATACTGAACTGAATGATGTCATTCTAAAAAAACTTGCAGGGTCGCGTCTAATATTTGTGCTTATCTCCACTTCATCTCTACGATCATGTAACTTTTCTATGTGATTTATGCTATACCAGCGTTAACTTTTTCTTTCACTTAAGCGGCTAATTATATTAGCCGCTTCTTAATATATATTCGAATATTAATATATTCGATACAAGCGTTACTTAAGCGGGATAATTCTGCACTTCCGTTTCATGCTCATGTTAGCTTTATAATTGAATCGAGTGTCGTTTTTAAACTCAGTGGTTTTTGCCCGTATCCACTGTGCATAGTCAGACGCATAGCGGAACTCCATTGCTCTGATATGCTAATTTTTACGTAAATGAAGGCTTTTTCATTTGTCAGTTCAGTCAGTCGGTGTAATATGCGTTTCTCCGATAGCAGTGTCTTTCCACTTTCGTCCTGAACAGTCAAAGTGATTTCTGGTGGTATTGAAATAAAAAATAGTATCAAACTAACTACTTTTGTGACTTTAGTAGATAATGATAACCCGATGTAAACAACTGAATAGATCGATGGGCACCAACTACCTTTTTGAACAATCTAAAAAAACATGAGTGGCATATGGCAGGTGACTTTTCCCTTTATCGAAAAGAACCTTCATATTCGACAACAAATGTATGCGTATAATGGTAAACCAGTTACCACAGGCACGTTATAGACTAGGTGGCCCAGAATTTCGTACAGTTTTATACGAACCATTAGATTAAACCATACGTTTCGAGTGTCCGAACTCGATGTGCTCTTCACATTGCTTAGTCGTGCATTTTGCGTTACTGCTACTACTTAACTCGAACGCAGACACTCATCAACACTGACTTTAGTCGGCCAGAGCTGCTAACATTGGCCAGTGGATCCATACTACATCAACAGTGTCATGAATGTAGCGTGTTATTGATGGTCATTACGGGGCAAGCCGCTGCGGATCAATCTAGGCAAAATGCCACCTCCTCTACAGTGTGAATCGACTGCTCTGAACACTCGTCGAAGAAGTCCTTAACGCATCCCAATCACCTTCTATTTGGCATCCGTTTCTTTTTAGTTGAGCCTTGTCTCGACGAAAAAAAACCATGGGCTTGATGCGTAGCTTAATAAATTCACTATAAAGCCGTACCTTCTTCCTATGTGACAAGGTCTCACTGTCAATGGGCCGAAGCGGGTTAGCCGACATAAGCCACTAGCTATTACAAGCGTTACCATCGCAGTCTCTGGTGTAGCTACTGTGTCAGCTTCTTGTCCTATATGACGAAATTTACGCCGGATGCAACGAGTAGACGTCATGCAGTAGTAAGAGTAGACGGGTTGTACGTGTGTGCAAGCACGCCTGTGCATTTTGCTATAAATGTGTGTCTACGCAGAGGTGATAGCAGTGACGGTGGTGATGGTCAGGTTATGTGGCATTTCCCCATTTGCTCCTGGCCCACGCCAACGATATATCGTCCTTAGTGCGCGCACCGATTTGGCCGTCGTAACATGTTAGACCTCCGCCTGACGTTCTTGATCCTGACTTGTGATAAACCCAACTGATCCCCCACGCTGATCAAATGGGAGAGGTAAACATACTGTAGGTAAAGGTCAGGGTAGGAAGACAACAGGCGGATGAAATAGATCGCGAACACGACGCACTTATTTTTATTAATCATAAATGTATCCGTTGTATATATAATGCTGCCACGATGCGTATTAGTTAATCTTCAAACGATTCATTCCACTCTTTTCCTTTGATGTCTATATATATATATATATATATGCATATGCATATATATATATATATATATATATATATATATATATGCGCATATCGTTACGATTATCAAAATTTTGAATTACGGGGAACGACGATCGATAAAACTAGCATTACTGAATAACTCAAATATCATATTATCGACATATATATAAACGTGTTAACACCTGTAAGAAATGAGTTTATCATATAAAGGCTTTAAGGTAAAAAATGAACTTTATCTCGTTCTAGAACGCCTTCACAATCTCTCGAGTACAATCTATCTTCCGTGCAAAAACTACGCTGCCTGTAACACCTTGTGGTCGTTACTGTGTTGCTCGAGCAAAATGTTTCATAATCATTTTAGCTGAGATAATCGAAAACATGGCCCTGTCGTCTTTATCAATGCATCGGAGTACAGCCTGTGCCGCACGAAGACTGCCATGTTGTATAATTAGTCACCCGTCAGCGTGCTTGCCACGATTGAAGTGAGTCGAAAGAACTGTTTAGGTACAGAATAATGCTACGAGCAAAAAAAAAATGATGCTAAAGCTGAATAGATAAAAATGAATTTTTCCGCTAATTACGCACAAAGACTCTGGGGTTCTCAGCGCAAAGCAATAGAAGAATCATCAGTTATTTATGCAAGCTCGTACAGAAGCTACCGAACGACCGCAAAGGGGGGAAATCTTCGGATCCAGTGTTTAAAATTAGTTGAAATGATTTTGAACGCGACTTCATGACCTGTGAGAGGACGTATTCTACAGTTGCTATATATATGTATATATGTATATATATGTATATATATATATATATATATATATATATACATACATATAGCAACTGTACAAACACTACCAACATAGAAGTATTATATGGATCAATATGAGCCTTGTGGCATTTTACTAGATCATTATTAACTGCGAAACCCTATTCCGCGTTAAAGCAGAGTTTTAAGCCTTGGAACTGCGTCTTGGTTTTGGTGATCACCAATCGCCATTGAACAGTTTCAGCATGTCGAGGTAAAGTTAACTTGATGTTAGCAACGGTGCTAAAAAAATATTTCATGGTTATACGATTGAAAAAACATGAAATATGGAAATTCCCAGAAAATCTTTGACTATTCTAGCTATTTGCTATATCCTCCTATGGGTGCATTCTCTTGGTTCGCTCAATAACGTGAAATTTTGCTGAATAATGTGCGTCATATTGCGAATTTCAATAGAAATGCATTTTTATTAAACAAGAATGCCATCGGAAAAGCCCTTGTGCATGTTCTCACTTACATAGCTCCAGTCGAAGATCAAACGTCTTTTTATTTGTCAGTGTCGCTTTAGCTGTAGGCTACAGGCAATTATGATAAATATGACGCGAATACGGTTTGCCTTCAGAAGACTCGATACATATCCGTGTTCACCGCAGGGAAACTTTCGGAGGTACGGGTTTTGTAACAATGTTAGAGACGCTAATGCTCCGTAATTTTATCTTTGAACACATAACCTGAACACACAAATAACTCGATTCCTCTAACAGAAATTATTTTCAACATACGTGTTATTATACATATATAAAGTCAAGTAATGGAATATTTGGCTTTGCTTTCATAGAAGGATATCCGTCATCTATAATAACAAGTTTTATTAGTTTTTATTGTACGAAGTAGGTATATACTGCACGCTCTTTGCTTACCCACGTAACCGGCACCGGTGCTTTCAGTTACCTGCATCTGTTGCTTTTGGGTTTATTATTGGGTTTATGATGGCTATCGACATGCTCGCCTATATGTGTGTCGATCGTTGCGTGTGTCTTTATAGTGGTTGTTGTTCGCTTGCGTTTACGGCGGGTTGGGGCTGCATGGTGTTTCAATTGTCGACAATTTCTCGTGTTTATTATGGCTCATACTGAAGTCACACGCTCTGCAGTGGCCTCGCCGACCGAGTGCTCTCTCTGATGACAGCTTGGCAAGGATCGCCGCGAGAATGGTGGCACCAGAGATCCAGGGCGACTTCAACCGAACGCTGGACAACGTTTGCGTGGAGCGTCAACCCGGTACCCCATCGCATTCGAAAGTGCGACAGGCAAGTAGCAACATAATAGATATTTGAATTATACAATTTACTCAGACTATCTGTGCCTAGCTAGTTTAATTTATACCAGCTGCAGGACGACAGGGTTAAATCTTGACAATCTCTTCTGCTATGTTTCCAAGGCTGCGTCTAAACAAGGCCAATTATTTTCACGTGCTAAAGGTATTATGCTTGACGGTCATATTTATATAATGTAATCTACATTCATCATGGTTACGTTTTCAATTGGGAACTTGAAGCACTCACTAGTCATTTCCAGAATAATGCTTCTTTAGCTCGCAAATGGGTTTCTATTAGTAACCGTGTGCCAAACGATATTGCCATACAAAGTCGCTAAAATATAGCTCGAGTAAAAAACTCAACAGAAATAATAATTTTCGTTTGATAACAGGCTGAAGGTGTGAAGAATACATAAGTCTGAAGCGGCCAATAAATCCAGAGGGCGCTAATAAATACTAACTGCCAAAGTTGATCATGATGACATAATTGGCAATAGATACATTCCGTTTGAGATTTGCTGTTAATTTGTCCATAAAAAGTTCAATACCGTCAGAAATATCTTTCCAGGATACTTTGAATCCAAATGCTATTGAAAATATTTCTGTTTGCTTTATGGAAATCTTTTTCAGGTTTTCTTTTTAGAAGCCGCACATGAATTGTTGGTTTTATGTAAAAAACGAAATGCTTCAACTTGGCAGGGGTTTATTTATTATTGGCTGTTCTACGCTCAAATTTCAGTGACGATAAACTGCTTCCCATTATGGTTGCAAGCTAATTTATATGTTCTTTGGGTCAAGACAGTCGTGATGTCAAACTGTTGGTAACTTGCTGGAAAAAAACCCCGAATGTAAGCGTAACCCTATAAGTCCTAAATGCTAGACACTTCCTAAGCAATACGAAAGCGGTAAATATTCCCAAGAAGGCAAACAAAACCTGGCAATAACTCGTCAAGATACTACTATCCAGATTTTTGGATGGGATCATCCACTTTTGTGTAAGATATCTACGACATGCTTAAAATTTATTCTTAATTCGCTCATAAACATTAACCTAAACGTTAGCCTAGGCTGTATGAGGTCAACTTGGGCAAAAAATATGTATTAGACTGTTTGTTCAACATTTTCTCCTAGTGCAACGCTTTAACCGAATCACCTCTGGTCCTGCACTAGGGGAGACCTTTTTTAGGACTACAGATCAGTTCATACATTATTAACGAGGCTAAGCCGAATGAATTGTTGCAAACGCTGAAATATTCGTGGTATGGAAACGTTTCAATGATGTGCAATAAGACTGGACTCGAGTAACTCGATAACAGGAAGCAGAAATTCTAGAAAAGCAAAAAGTTCAAAGATATCAGAAGTTAAAGATAAGCTTATTTCTATAAATCTCCTTTGTTAGATATGTTATTTTTGAGAAGAACTACTATTTTTAGCTAAATATCTCTGCTCACCGTTTTTTGACCAAATCTCATGACAACTATATGTGATAACGTATAGTACGTACATTGAACGTGTAATTATCGCCTCGTTTCAGATACGTACCAATAACATGTGACTCAAATTCTAAATTGAAGTCTTTGCTCATTATATTGGGTTAGATTATAGCTCTTAACAGAATATAAAAAGTATGCTTGCTTTACAGCTGTGCTTCTAGTCTGAACTTGATCACATTTGAAGTTCAGCATTTGTAGTAGTTGCATTTTCTTAGGAGTTAATTTTTAGATATTTTCTGACCAGTCTTTTGTAACGTCCGGGCTCTACGAAAATTAGCTAGTAAGGCCTTGGATATTCTGTCTTAATTTCGATGCAGAAACCGAATTATTGCTGCTCTTGTCTTACGCAATCTGGTCCTTGGTTTAAATCGTACAGTTGATCCTGTGGCGTGTACATAGACCCTACACATGCAGTGCATGATTATTTTATAGGTGGATGAGAGAGCCTTTCAACTGTTAGGTTGTGTAGTGCCCAAAAATACGCTTGCGTGATCCAAAATGACGAACAAAGCAGATAATTTTTTATAATATTTATATAATCTCGCTCAGCATCTCGAAGCTTCAAATTCGTGCACGATTATATTGGAAGTTATCATAACTTACAATTTACGCATTGACTTCAATCGGGTCGTAGAATGTAATGGACTAATAAAATCTAAATACATTTGAATTTTTTGCACAGGACTATCATTGACCGTTATCGATATTTCCAGTAAATATTTATCGACGCAGGCGCGGTAATGAGAAATTTACGCTTGTCGATTCATTGTTATTTGTCTTTATACACAGCCAAATCTAGCTTCGAGTTTGTGGAGTAGTTTCTCGACGAAATTTTGTACGGGCATTTTATTTACACAAGCTCATCTACGCTTAACCCGAGTTGATCTCAAAGCGTTGGCACCGCTAAACGATGGCAAACTGTTGATCATTGCGATCTATTTTGCAGAAACGTAGAGTTCATTTCAGAGTTTTGCAGGGGTTGACGGTGCTAAGAATGTCGATCGTTTTGTTGTTATCTACTTTAGCCACTTCCCGAGAACACAATGATAAAGTAGAAAAGTAAGCAGAGTTGCCACAATGTTAAACCGTTACCAGCATGTTTGCAGCACACAGAGTAGATTGTTGATCCACCGCACTAGACCATAGAGTCTAACTATTATAACTACCAAATCTATTTCTGCCAACTTTCGGACCTCCTAGCTTCGAAGTTATGCGAGACGTCTGTTCTTTCTCACGTAATTGTTACATGGCGTAGGCGGGTAGCCTCGTTTAGGATAATGCATTTGCCGTGTATGTCGTATCCTGTGTGCCAGAGCGATGATTGTTGTATAGAGAGCCAAACGAAGGTTGTGGCGTTCTGCTGTTGCTGTGAGTAGATAAATGGGAGCGCAGTGTACGTCATGTGAACGTACGCATGCGCTTACGTAATCCTCGTACGAACATTAGAACGAAACGAATGTGTTGTGCGCTTTCAAAAAAAGAATAATAATAAATAAAATAAAAAATAATTTCATGAACAGTTGGAAAGGCTAGTCCTGAATAGCGGGTAAACCACAGCTTGTAAGTATACATTTGCTCCATATGTACACCCTAAATATAGTCAACGTTTTTAGTGTTTTCAGGACAATTCTCCCGATATGAACCATACAGATCTATGATTTGAAACGCATTTAACACTATAGATAATTGCCAAGTGTTTATGTTGACATAGATGAAGTACCAATTACTTAGGCTGCGTTTCATGTATTGGTCCCGCCATGTTATAGTGCATATGAACTGTTCCTTCATAACGAACATCGCCCAAGAATGCTTACAGCTGACCTGAGCTTCTGATTTGAAACATTCTCATGCTTTTCTTTTGATTGACTTTGTGCGTTTTCCATAATAGTCATTTAAGGCCATAAGCCTTTTTTGAGCTAGCAGTGCTTTGTGCCGTTCTCCGTTTGAACTCTTGTGTAATCTACCAAGTATAAAGAAGGTATGCATGTAATTGTTTTCCGAGTTATTGATTGTAAGCGTGGTAACTGACAGCGTGGTATCAACAACAACACACGTCGTACTCGGTGATTATCTTCACTAACTAGGAGACACGATAGGGCGGTATCGTCCTCCGACTAGTAATACTCAGGGCGGTCATTAGACGGCTGTTTTTCATTATGAAATATGTCGTTATATTTATTGTTCGATGCTGTTTGTATTTGTTTTGTGTATTCCTTGCTCGCGGATAATACCGGGCGCCAGTTTATCGTTTCCGAACTGCGCGCTCTGAAATGGAAAGTCACTGAATATCCGTTCAGTGACATGACGCCTCATGGACGAAAACCGTTTACCAACGTCGTCGCTACACTTGACACCGTTGCATGTCACCGGTTGGTACTTGCTTGCCACTACGATTCAAAGGTATGCTCTGCTCGAAAAAAAGTAACCAATTAAAAGTTAGTGCAGAAGTTCTTAGTTTTATGTTGTATCGTAATTGACTCTTTTATACTGATCGCAGGGAAGCCAAGAAACGCTAAGGATTGGCGGTACCTACTTAGTATCGGGGTTTCAAGATAAAACGTTACGAAAATACTCTGTAATTTGCTCAAACTTCGATATATAGTCTTACTCATAGTTTTGTTAACATCCGGGATCAATGGCTGTTGTCGCTCGATCTATTTGGTAATGAGGAGCGCCACACATACATATATATCGCCCATCTACCATGTATATTCATTTTTGTCTCGTACACGATGCACACTACGACCACATAACCCAAAAGCTACCCAAGAATTACGCGTTACTTTTCCTATAGCACAGTCCACCTTCCACGCGAACTCTTGTGTAGCAGTTCAATTACCATGAAGCATTTTCCCTTGTTACAGCTACATTCGTTACCCTCTTGCAGTTTTTTCGTTGCATTTTTCTCAGCCAAGGTTGTGGTAACTTGTCCAAATCAATCAAGCAGCTCTGTCCTAGACCGCTTCATCCTCTTCTGTGTACTGTTGTGTTCGGCCCATATTGAACGGTTCTGTCATTGATTGCCACTGACAACGCTGAATTTAGCCAGCAGCGACACTAACTCCATCTGCTGGCATCGTTGTGCAGTATAGAAGCGGTTCGTTCGAATCACTTTAACCATTGACGGATAGCTACCTGTGATGTATTCATATAACTAGTATAAAACATGACAGTCATTGTGCGGCATAGGCTATACTCTGATGCATACAGAATGATGTACTCTTATGACGATACGGCCATGTTTCCGATTATCGTAACTAAAATGATTATGATGACGATGATCTAAACATTTTGTTCGAGCAACGCAGTAATGGCCACAAGGTGTTACAAGCAGCGTAGTTTCTGTACAGAAGATAGATTGGACTCAGGAGATTGTGAAGGCGTTTAGAATGGGATAGAAGCATAAATCTTTCTCTTTCTGACGGCACATAGGAGCATTGTCATTATGTTATTATGTTGACAATGAAGCAAAACAAAATGGTTAGTGTTTTAATGGATCATCCTAGAGCTTTTAGGTACAAAATGCATTTCTTGATAACGTTATCGTGGGCTGATGCTGAACTGTGCAAATGCCTTCATCTTTATAAAACGTTTCCATTCGGAACAATGAACTTCCACTTACTCTCTTGTAATTGTTAAGCAGGTGATGAAGAACTTTGTCGCTGCTGTAGATAGCGCTGTACCCTGCAGTCAAATAATCAACATAGTCAAGGCACTCGACCCTGAATTGAAATTGCATCGAGACAGAGTAAGTTGGAAAAAATTGTTCTAATTATGATATATTAACGTCAAAAACGTGTATACTATAAGGGCGCCATAAGGACGTATTCTGATCGGCGCATTCTTCAGTATAAGAGGATAAGCACGAACAGGAGGGGGGGACCTTCACGAAGCACGGCTTTCTAGGTCTTAATCGAAATCTGAATCGATGCACCAATTGCAGAAAACTGGTCTGACCCTTCAACTAATATTCTTCGATGGCGAAGAGGCATACGAACAGTGGAGTTCTACTGACTCGCTCTACGGCTCCCGGCAGCTGTCACACCAAATGCACCAAACCAGATTTCTTTACGCAGCTAAAAATCGCTGTGAACCCGCGGCGAGGAGGAACATCGTTAGCGAACTCGACCGCATTGAAGTGTTTGTGTTACTTGACCTTCTTGGCGGGAAAAATCCAAGCTTCCACAGCTTTTTCGCTGACACTAAGGAGGTACGTAGATGGCTAGCTTGCGGGCTGTCCGTCTGACTTCACGTGAAAATACGCAACCTGTAGGTTTATCCGTGACAATGCAGTCCACGTTAAAACGACGATTCTCTTTTTATTCGTTTTCTTAAAATCAGGCAATATTAAAACAAGAAGGCAATTCTGGTGGTCGTTGTATGCTTGTTATATGTTTATTATCTACTCATTGATTCATATGAATTGGTGTTGGTTAGTTGTTATTTAGTGTTAGGCGTAAGTGGTAACCTTTGGTCTTCCACTAAAACATGCTCTGGTCCACAGCTCTTCGACCAAATGACTGATATTGAGCAACGTCTAAATAACCTTGGGCTAATGGAAGGTGGACGTACTAAGTACTTTACTGGCAAAAGCACATTTGGTGCTATCGAGGACGATCATATACCATTCATGCGCAAAGGTATCTGCGTTCCGTTTTTCATTTCGAAAATAGCCACAAAGTTCGATTTGCTAATATTTGTATTTGTGGATCTTAATCAGGAAGGAACAACCTACGGGTTTGACTGCCCTATTTTTGCTTACTTACTCTATTTTACTGATTTCATAATAATAATAATAATAGTAATAATAATTTCACTGGTCGATGCAAAAAAAGCTAGAAGAGTTTTAGCGCCCGGTTCGCCTTAAATGTTCACAGTTAACCGTAATGCCAATACGCGCTTACTTTACGTACTATTTGAACGTGATGGTCTTTGCAGGTTTTATCTTATGGAAACTGTAATCGAATTGCATTCGACCACAGTATGTTCAAATACTTCGGCCATGACTGAAACCCGTGTGTCGAACGTTTAATTAGTGGAAAATACGATGTTTCTCTACTTCGTTTTCCTGACTAGACGAAAATCAAAATGGCTTCACTTGTTAATTCAAATTAATTAAAAAATTATTTCAAAACCAGCTGTCCAAAATTGTGTCCCTACCGTTGAATATGTTCAAGATAAATGATCGATTTCAATTTCTATGGATTTATGTATGGTTAATTACTATCGTTTCTTTTTTGTTTTCCTCGTGTCCGCTCTGCTGGACCAGATGTTCCCATCGTCCACATCATCCCACATCCGTTTCCGCGCGTCTGGCATAAGTCCTCGGACAATAAAAAAAATCTTGACTGGCCAACGATCTGGAACCTCAACAAAATTTTCGCAGCGTTCCTTGCCTGGTACATGGAGTTATAGGACACTCATAACAATAGCGCCGTTGCCGAGCAATTTCTTCAAGTCCTAGCAGATTTTATACTGGACTTCCCCATGAGCGATAAAGATAACTTTGAAGGCCAGTAATCCATAGGGAGTGTGGTCACGACTATGAGACTAAGCTACGTAGAATTTGGTCTTGGTAACTTATACTTCATTAATAATTGGGGCATGTCATGGTGATGAAGAAAGCAACGGCGGTAAAGAATAGTATGAACGCTATCTGTAAAAAAACAATAGCTATCTGACAGCGTCATGTGAATGTTACGTACTAAGGGCTTTCTGAAGGAGGAATTTTATAATGTTTGCTTGTCGATACATAACGCTCACCTATAGCATTGGATTTTCATTTACACTGCAAAGAGAAAGATAATTTTTGATCCTTTCCGACCGCTGAGGACGTTGCAAACGATGTTTGAATGTGCAATTAACGAGGGATAGTAGAGTAGTTTTCATATTTATCATGGTCACTTGTTACAACCGTTTTTTTTTTAATTGTTATATTAAAACTAATCTGTATTATTTATCTGGGTGATAATTAGATGTCAGGTATATATACACATATTTCAAATAAAACATTGCCTTTGTCGTTCGTATGGGGATGGTTGCACTATTTGTTCTCAGTTTCCCTTCCAGATGCTTATCTGGTTCCTGAAGATCCATATACTGTAAAGTTAGTATTTATTACTTGTGAGGCGTGTTTTCTTTATTTGTCCACATACATTAAAAAATTATGTGCACATACGCTTTTAAATGTTTTTCCAATTGACCTAACCTCCAAAATAAGGGAAAATTGATACTTGCAGAATGTTCGAAAATAGGACGTTCACGTGCAAAAAACATATGGTGATTTTCTGTTCGATTAAAAGCTGTTCTGGCTTTTAGAAGAAAAAAATGTTCTGGCGGCCACGTAAAAAAGATGCTAAGCAAAATGCCACAAACTGCCTTTTCCGGAATAAGATCCCTTGTTAAAGCCGAAAGAACTTAGACTATTCATCATTATTCACTTGCAAAATGCATTAATTTCTTTTTGACGGCTTATTTGTGATAATTCAATATTATTAATATTGGAAATGGTTCAAACGTGTACACGAAGTATAAAATACAACTACAATTCTGTGAAATGCAGCACGGGTGCACACATGACAACGGCTGTTTTCAGATTTGGTAGAATCGTATTAAGAGGACAACAGTGATTTTCCTTGACGAAATTTATCAAAACATATGCACTGCAGACAACGTGGACCTATGCGTCAGAGTCGGTCCTGAATAGAAAATGACACTTCTCATTTGTCTGTTTGCTACAATTTTTTTTACGTTGCGCGGTAAACAAACAGGATGTAATCTGAGCAAAAAAAAAAGACAAACACAATCTTATGAGAAAAAAAGCAGAAAATGTATAGGTATGTATTGTTGTTATCATTACCGCGATTATTTATAATCACGTCACTCGTTTTACGTGCATTATGCAGCAAAATACAGAACGAGCTCGTTCTTATTAGCGGCTTCCGTTCAGGTAAAATGGCTGGCTTGACAAATTTAACTGTATATAATTCGAATGATGACTAAACGCTGGTGGAACGTATATGTGAAACAAGATAAAAATGGGAAGATGATGTAAATTTGATGTACCTACATCTTGGCCCACACGGGTGCACCCCGCCCGAAAACCGTCCTCGTGTGATAATATACTACCCTATTTTTCTTTTGTATTTATTATTGTATTATTACATATATAGAAGTAAGGTGTTAAGACGACTAGGTTGATAATCGACGATTTGATGCCCAAGCAGATAAAAGAAGTATGCAAGTATTCCATGTAAGCAGATAGATATTTTCAAGAGGATTTGTGAATAAAAGACATTATATGTAAATAAAGCGACTAGAACATGACCTTTAGTTCACTGAAAAACCTGCGAATGCCATTTAAAAGTTATAACTTTTAAATGGCATTCGTTTGTAGCCTAAATAAGACTTGTTCCTATAGTTATCTGTCCAACACCCTATTCTTAGAGAACTAGCTGGTTTGGCATTGAAATATGTTCCGTCTTTTCTACACAATTTTCTCCTGGGGAGTAAAGGAGGCTCCTCAACCACTTCCGATCGGCCTGTTCTTCTGTTCGGCCATCCACGAGCCACGATTTGAAAGCCACGAGCTAGATGCAACCAGCAAATAGTTAGATAATATAGAGCAAGGAGAACAAGCAGTTTTACAGTCCCAAGAAAAAAATGCAGATCGCTAAGTAAGCAGGCTTGCGGTAGGTATGGGGGTGGGTTGCATTGTCGCTGCATGTTTTCCTTTGTAGGTTTTCATTTCTTTTTTCGCTCAAACAAGGCTTTGAAATGTTTATTTTATGACGTAGCCATTACAGCCGACCCTGAATAAGGAGACGCAGCAGCGAAACTATATACTTGGGACAGGAGTAATATTCTCATACTTAAGTAACGTACTGTGTTATCTGCGTCAGGCTGGGTCGGTTTGTAGTCACAGATGTCATATGTGGTCAATTTGCTTTCTCTATTCTGTATAATAGTCATGAACAGTCTTGTTTATCTTTAGGTTCGCTCCTCAATACAAGCAGATAGTCTAGCGAATAGTCTTATGCTGAGAAAGACGTGAGTGTTGTGGATCTGACATGCGTCCGAAGCCTGGCGTTATGTATATAAGATGACATGTTTATGTGCACGACTGAACAAAACTTTACAACGGGAACTATCAGCTAGCATTTATACATTAAAATAAGCCACAGAAGAAATGTGTAAGTCGAAACTAAGTTTGCCAGCAAAAACTAAGCATATCAACAGGAACCAGTAGCAACGAAGTCAAATGTGATAATTTCTTTTAATATTACAATAATGAACGGTAAGCATCTTTTAATAAGTTACTTTGAACCTAATTTTTTCCTCGCTAGTACTTTTTTTTTGACCAACTGTTAGACTAGCTTAATCTTTACCAGCATTTTCTGACTTAGCGACCAATTATATCATCCTTTATTCTAAAGAGATATGTTAAATTCATTTGTTTCATTTTAATAATACTATTTAGTTAAAATTTTTATAACATCCTCTCTATTGCTTATTATATTTTTTCCATGCTATTTTGTTACCTGTCATTTGTTCCTATATGTCAACTTCTACATGGCCTTAATTTACGGCGGATGTGAGGCTTGGGCAACATATCTTATGCCGCTACTCTAACTTATTTACTTATACCGAAGTTTCAAATTTTTGAGGTGACGGTCATTCTATTTCTTTCTCACGTTCGCGTCTTATACTGAAGTTTCAAATTTCTGAGGTGACGGTCAGTCTGTTTCTTTCTCACGTTCGCGTCTAGGTGGCCTATTTCTAAACACAATACTCGTTAGAAATGACCGAACTGGCTGTCTCGCTGTGTATTAGAGTAGAAGCAGCCTTGCTGGTCATTTATCGTCCACAAAAAGGCCCCTTTACTATATATAAGCAGCTATCGGCAACCTAGGTGAGGAACGTATAATGAATACATGAGAACGCAATAAATGATCTAGTTCTTGTCGACCTCACTACACTAGACTTCACTGTAAACCCATATATATTTACAGCGTGACGTTTTATTATTTAATACAATCATATTGAGAATGACTTTTAAAGTCGAAAATGTTAACTTAAGATGAAATTAATATTGACAGCCGAGAATAGTGAAAATACTATAAGGTGCAAAACATTAACAAACTTCATTAGTCAAAGGAACAAACTTCGTTCTGATAGAGAATGAGCATAAATATAAAAAGTAAAATTAAATGATTAGGTCTTACCGCATTAACTAAAATTTATACGAACATACTAAATAACTTCGAGTCATCTAAAATCAGTTTTGTTAGACCAGTCAGTCCACTCAGGTACGTATAAGCTAAACGCCTAGAAGGCCACCAAGTTTACAATTTTATTGATAATTGGCATATCAATAAGATAAGTCAATCAATATATTAATTACAATATAAGTACAAGATAAGTTGATTGGCATATCAATAATCCTACTATTATTTCATGAATACACGCTAACAACACAACCGAAAATCAGGTGCACGACAACTCTACAAAGAGATTTAAATGTATTAAATTCGGGTAAGCATGATACGATCTGTTGGCGTTTAGCTCAAGGTGCGGGAACAGGCTAATAAGGATACTGCCGTTATTTGCAATTTACTTGAATTTTGACTTCGTCAGCGTTATTAGATTCATTATAAGTAACACCTAATTGCAAAAAAAATGGGACTTATTTACGTAGTGGGCTAGCGATTAATTTACTTGGCACAACGAAAGCGTAGGCAAAAATGCAAATTATTGACGACATGTTTTTACTGTTTAACTAACTGCTAACATCTTTTTTTTTATTTAACTATTCTCTTAATCAGTCAATAGTTAAAAAAGAGTTGAGTGCATTGGTCAATAACAAAGCGTCCAGTTTGAGCGATAATGATTCCAGCCATGAATACACTATAAAAGTATTTACAATAAAGAAAGAGCGTTTATTAATACTGACAGTTCTTCAAATGTGAGAAAATCTGGTAATGTGGTGGATACCCCAGCCCGTTTGACTTTTTTCGCCAAACCGAGTGTTTTCTGATCTTATTCATAGATAAATTGTATTCAAATACTGTCAACAAATGACTAGTTTATTGTATGATAAAGCGCACAACGAAACAACAGTTGGCCCGAAGATGTTTCCTCTAACCCGTTCCCGTACGTCAGTCATTTTTAACCGCGTCAAGATTGTCGTCTGCTCCAAGTTGTAGCATATAAACCCTCTGCTCCTATTGTCAATAAAGCTTTCCGCGTTGCGGTTGCGAGCGCTCGAAATGGTACGCGAAGTTTTACTTTATTTCCAATCAGAACGATGTTGCATATGCGTATAAAGCTTATTCATAGATCGGAAGCGTTGGGTAAGTTTATGATCTAAGACTTTGTTGCACTATTTCAAATAGCAAGATATCATGACTGTCTTCTCTGCTGATATACTACGCGGCGCAATCAAACGGTGGGAACTGAGCTTTCCAATTGAGCCGATTTAAAATCGTGGCGCAAATTTGCTATGGTCTTGATTGCCATAACAGCTAAGCAAACTAACGAATCAAGGACGGATAAATTAAATCTAACAATTACTTTTTGGTAATTAACTATAAACTGAGTTATAGGGAGGATGTCAGTGATACCTAAGTCTATTCGCATCGGACTAGCTACCGAGAACATCTGGGAAGACGACACCAGCCGATAAGTCTTCGGCCAGTTCTGAGGATTGCTTAATGTTTTTCAATGAAAAGTATTCGTGGAAGTCAACGTCTTTTTTATAAACATTTTGCGTATGAGAGTATGTCTTATACTTATGTGCACTTTGTTGAACAAACGCTGTTTTAAAATTCACGGATCTGTTTGGGTGAAAACGCATATACTTATATGTTAGAACTATATGTTTATTTTTGTAAATGTTTGACAATCGTTATCAAATGTTCACAATGAGAATACTCATCAGCATATAATAATGAAATATTGAGTTTACTATACAAATATTTTGCTTCGAAGTAAAATATTATGACTGATAGTTTCAAAGCCCCTCGTAGCACAATAATCAAGACAATCAATTTCGTACGTCTCATACAAACCGAGACGTACACAGCATATCATAAAGGAAGTGTACGAGAATATTTACACACTCTTACACATTTACGGAGCCCTGGAATGAGCATCCTCATAAGTGTGTGATACATTTCAAGGATTGTCCTTAACAGTAATTTACTAAACAAAGATTTTCTGAAAGAAAATTATTAACGCGAACTACCAGAATATTCTATATAAACCTTGTTTTATTCATAGCGTTTACCGCCACTAGAGCCCTTAACAATGGGGCTTCGGGTTACAGATTCCAATTTCTGGCGTCGCGCGCATGCATAATTCATAATTTCATAGAAATAAATTGGTGTTTTATGGGAAGCCAACGTTTAAATGATAATTACTGATATTTAATTCCTTTCAATTAACCCCCTCTAATAGATGTTTTGCCGTAACAAGGAATGTGCATGCTTAATCCGCTTAATAAGTTTTAAGTAAATGCCAATTTTGTTATAATAAGTAAAAAAACTTAGTAACAAGTTACGAAAAATAATATATATA